CTATTCTTAATAATAGTCCTGCTGGGCACAGCATTCTTGGGGTTGCGGGTTATTTTTCTCTCCTTTCAGCACTTTGAGTTTATCATACTACTTTCCTCACCTGCAAAGTTTCTGCTGAAAAATCAGCTGATAGACTTATGGGGTTTCCCTTGTATGGAACGGCTTTCTTTTCTCTTGCTGATTTTAAAATTCTCTTTCTATTGCTATTTTTTGACATTTTAATTATTATACATCTTCGTGTGGACTTTCTTAGGTTAATCTTATTGGTGGCTCTCTTTGTGCCTCCTGGATCTGGACATATGTTTCCTTCCGAACATATTCGGGAAGTTTTCAGCCGTTATTTCTTCAAATAAATTTTATGCCCCTTTCTCTCTCTCTTCTCTTTCTGGGATCCCAATATGCCAATATTGTTGTGCTCAATGGTCTCACTGAGTTCCCTTAGCCCATTCTCATTTTTTAGTATTCTTTAAAAATTTTTGTCATTATTATTGTTATCATTACAGTTCAGCTTGGGTGTTTTCTGTTACCTTGTCTTCCAGGTCACTGATCCATTCTTCTGCCTTCTATAAACTGCTATTGATTTCCCCTGTTGTTTTTGTTTTTTTGTTTGTTTGTTTTTGTTTATTTGTTTCTGTTATTGAGTTCATCTCTGACTTTATTTTCTATCACTTTGTGGAAGGTCTCATTGAGATCCTCCACTCTTTTCTCAAGTCCAGTGAGTATCTTTATGACCATTACTTTGAAGTCTTTATCAGGCATATTGTTTCTTCCCATTTTACTTCTCTCTTTTGTTATGGTTTTGTCCTGTTCTTTCATTTGGGACTTATTTCTCTGTCTCCTCATTTTATCTAACTCTCTGTGATTGTTTCTATGTTTTAGGAAATCAGCTACCTCTTCTGATCTTGAAAGTAGTGGTTTTATGAAGTAGAGATCTTGTGGTCCTCTGTAGTGCAATGCCCCCTATTCACCAGAACCAGGTGCTTCAGGCGTGTCTTCTATGTGGGTTGTGTGCACCCTACTGTTGTAGCTGGGCTGTGTTTCAATTCATTCTAGCTGACTGCACTGGTCCACTTTCCTTGTGGTGGGTGTACCAGGCAGGGTTTTGTCCCTGTGTTGTAAAGAGGCCAGTATGGGGACCATCATGGCCTTGTCTTCGGGCAGTGTCAGCAGTTAGACCAGATGCCTGTTCTTAGCCCATCTGCCAGGGCTGCAGTCTTGTTGGCCTGCAGTGTGCTCTCCCTGCCTTAGTCTCCTGAGAGAGAGACTTTTGTTGTTGGGTGGGGCTGGCAGTCAGAACAGATGCCTGGACCCAATCTGTCTACTTGGGCTGTCTTGTTACTGACTAGCAGGGCACTTTCTCTATGCTGCCAGGTATAGGGTTCAACTGTTGGTGTGGTGGGCACATATAACTTTTTTTTTTTTTTTACTCAGCGTGTTTCAGCTTATTTTTCTTTTTACTTTCTCTAATAACCATACTCTTTCCTTCCTCAGGGAATGAGCCACCACTTTCTTCTAAATGAAATGTTCTCTTTTCATTTACTTCATGTATAGCACTTATTTTTCAGTCTTAGCTCAAATTTTACATTCTCGTTAAACTTTTGCTAATAGTCCAGGTTCCTTCCTCTTTATTTTTCTTTATAAAGATTTTTATTTATTTGACAGAGAGAGAGAGACAGCGAGGGAGGGAACACAAGGAGGGAGAGAGGGAGAGGAGAAGCAGGCCTCCCGCTGAGCAGGGCTCCTGATGCGGGTCTCAGTCCCAGGACCCTGGGATCATGACCTGAACCAAAGGTGGATGCTTAATGACTGGGCCACCCAGGGGCCCCTTCCTTCCCCTTTATAAACTCTCATAAGCATTCTATATATTTTTCTTTATAATAAAATAGTGCAATTATTTGAAAAAAAAAGTTTTTTTTTTTTCTCTTCCAGTAGACAAGATCTCAATAGAGTTGTTGTCATTGTCTGTTTTGGTTAGAACTGTACACTTTCCCAATGCCTAGAACAATACCTGGAAAATGAGTGAATCAATTAATGAATAAATGAATTAATTAAATCAATAATCATGTGAAGTTTGGTGAAGGGATAAATAGGAGAACATATGAACATAAAACTATGTTTCACAGAACATTTTAGATAACTGCCCACTTTTCTGATTGAGAGAGTTCCGGGCTTCTGCATGAGTGAACAAATAATAGGAGAGTTATTACTGTAAGACATCAATTCTTCACAGATCATAGCATCAGGGTTTTAACTTACATGCTTAGTGTTTTTAAAGGCTATTTTTAAAAATACTTATTGGTAGTGATAATTTAGGAAAGTTCACACTTGGTTGGGGTGGTTGTTAGCCTCATGTTATTTCATACTTTGGCAACTAAGACTTATTTTTTTTCAGCCACTTTTACCATCACTATTTGATTAAAAAATCAATTTACTGCATGGAACTTCAGGATCTTGTTCATTTACATACTAAGATCTCTTTTTTGGAATCATTCTCTATCTTGTGTGAATGTCCCTTTCAAAATGTTTATAAACTTGTCTGTGGTTTAATAACTGTTCATGTATGAAATCCTTGCCTCCAATTTCTTTTTCCATTTTTTTTCTTTTCTCACCTATTTATGCTTCCAGATAGACCTTCAATTTTGTCAAGTTTCAAAAATAGTTTTTTTTAGAGTCTGATTAGGATGGGGTTAAACCAATACATTTAATTGGTAAGCAATTAAGGTTCTTTCTTCCTTCTCCATTTACTCAGCTCTTTTGTATATCTTAAGTTTTGTGGCTTTATTCACTATAACTCCATAAACTGCTTGTTCAGTGTTATGTCCCTGTTGCTATTATAAATAGAATAGTTTTACCTACTTGTATTACCTATTTAGTTTGCTGTTGGTGATATAAAGAAAAGCCATCAGCCTTTTTTTTTTTTTCTAAGACTAATGATTTATTAAGAAGAAAAATATTTTTTTGACTTTATTTTTTAAATTTTATTTTATTATGTTATGTTAGTCACATTACATCATTAGTTTTTGATGTGTTCCATGATCCATTGTTTGCATGTAACCCCCAGTGCTCCATTCAATTCATGTCGTCTTTAATACCCATCACCAGGCTAACCCATCCCCCCACCCCCCTGCCCTCTAGAACCCTCAGTTTGTTTCTCAGAGTCCATAGTCTCTCATGGTTCATCTCCCCTTCAGATATCCCCCCCTTCATTTTTCCCTTCCTACTATCTTTTTTTTTTAACCATATTATTTGTTTCAGAGGTACAAGTCTGTGACTCATCAGTCTTACACAATTCACAGCGCTCACCATAGCACATACCCTTCCCAATGTCTATCACCCAGCCACCCCACCCCTCCCACCCCCCACCACTCCAGAAACCCTCAGTTTGTTTCCTGAGGTTAAGAATTCCTCATATCAGTGAGATCATATGATATTGTCTTTCTCTGATTGGCTTATTTCACTTAGCATAATACCCTCTAGTTCCATCCAAGTCATTGCAAATGGCAAGATTTTGTTTGTGCTTTTTTTTTTAATGGCTGCATAATATTCCATTGTATATATATACCACTTCTTCTTTATCCATTCATCTATTGATGGACATCTTGGCTCTTTCCATAGTTTGGCTATTATGGACATTGCTGCTATAAACACTGGGGTGCATGTACCCCTTCGGATCACTACATTTGTATATTTGGGGTAAATACCCAGTAGTGCAATTGCTGGGTTGTAGGGTAGCTCTATTTTCAACTTTTTGAGGAACCTCCATACTGTTGTCCAGAGTGGAAAAGCCATCAGCTTTTATTTACATTAAACCAAGTCTTAATATTGATTTTTAAAGTTTTTAATTAATCCACTAATGTTTTATATAAAAAAAATCACATGGTAATAAATGTAATTTCATGTCCCCTTAAAAAGTGATACTTGTTATATTTTTCACATATTATTGAATTGGCCAGATAGTCTTAAACAACACTGAATAGCTGTAAAAGTCAACATCCTTTCTTGTGTTTCAACATTAGTCATGATGCTGATTTTGTGAGATAAACTTAAAAAATGTACCTCCTTTTTCCTAATTCTTATTTATTTGTAAAACAGGAAATGGGTGTCTAGTTCTATCAAGTTCCTTCTAAATATGCTCAACCTTTTTAAAGGACCAGTTCTTGAATTTTTCGGCTAGTTATTATTTTCTAATTTTTCATCTTTTTTCCATTTTTAAATGTTTGTGTTATTTTATTCTAAATTCTTGAAGTTAAATATTTATGGGTTTTTAAAGAGTATTTAGGGCACCTGGGTGGCTCAATTGGTTAAGTGTCCAACTCTTGATTTCAGCTCAGGTTATGATCTCAGGGTTGTAAGACTGAGCCCTGTGTCAGGCTCCACGGTTGGGTGTGGAGTCTGCTTAAGATTCTCTCTCTCTCTCTCCCTCTCCCCTCTCCCTCTTTGCCCCCCTCCCTCTCTAAAAAAAGAGTATTTAGGGTAATAGATTGGACTGGGTACAGTTTTAGCTACCAAAACGAATTATCACTACCAGCATGTGATCAATAATATCAGGAACAAGTTTTAACCTAATACAAGAGAAAGTGTGTAAAATTTTGGCCCCCTATGTATGGACTTTATACTCTTAGACAAGTGAGTACAGATTATAGCACATGATGTTATCAAAAGTCATCAACATATTATCCAAGGTTAGTTCTTAGTGACCTTTTATAACTGTATATGGTTGCATATTTTTTTATGAAAAAGAAAATACATTAAAAAGTTTGAAATTGCTATGAGCCTGAAAGCTTTTAACAAATAGTTGAATTTATGTGTATGTCAGTTATGAGGAATTTATAAAAGTAATTGATATAATATCAAAAGAGGAATAAAATATGAGATTACAAAATAGAAATGTGTGGAGGTAGGAGTAAGTGCAGAGCTAAGTTCATAATTTTAGATCTATTTCAGGTACACCAAAGCTAAATAAGTAATGTTAATTGTTTGCATTAAGTGAGAAACAATGGTTGACTAGGGTAAAATTTATTATAGGGTTGTAGAATTAATACAACCTAAATTCCTCAACACTTGTACAGTTTTATGGATTTCACAATATGGATATTAGTGAGATAGAATCACTGCATTTGTGAAAATGACTTCTTCATGAAAATTTTTTACATGTAAATCAGATCTATTACAGAGCACCTAACAGAAATGCAAAGATAATTTCTAAATTCAGGAAAGTTGTATAAAATGAAAAATAAAACAAAACAATGTTAAGAGATTTGACATGTTTTACACAAAACATTCAGAAATAATTTTAAATATTTTAAATTTAAAACATGGTTTACCATATGATTGAGTGAAGAGCTTACTTAAAAACACATACACAAAGGATGGAATTTATTGTCAGGATGTTAGATGACATATTCATGCTACTTTCAGAAGCCTAAACCCTATAAATTAAAAAGAAAAACACAGAATCATTTAATTTCAATTTCAAACAACAAGCAATGTCAATTAAACTAAAAATTGACAAGAACTTGCAGTGGTTAGTAGTTTTTATTTCCTTCTTTTTTTGGCATAAGCAATAGAGTATATGCATGAGTAAATATGAGTATCCTACACCTTTAATGTTGAAGTCATATTGTAAATCTCTAACTTCTTATTAGGAGGATACTCTTTTTCTGTTGCCTCTCACTCTTGACAGATCTTGGTCTCAACAATAAATTCATTGGGGAAGTGTCTAATCTTCCAACACTTATCAATGGCACGTTTGTTGAAACCTGTGAAAAAATGCACAAAGAATTGACTTTTTAACTTTTTATGTAAATGAAAACATACCTAGATTTGTTCTCTACTTTCCCCCTGTACTCCACCTGCACTCTCCTTCACTTTCCCAATAACACAGGTTGAAGGAAAGACTATCGCCTACCCAGCAAGAGGTCTCTTCTACGAAGGCGGAAGGACTTGCGATTGTTGCAAAGTTGGTAAATAAAGATGCCAAGGTTACTAACATCACGAATCTCTTCCACAGCAACCAGGTCTTCATGAACAACATAAGTGTGAGGCAAGTATTTGCCACTCTAAAATTTTTTTAAAAAGATTAAAATAAGTTCTTAAAAACACCATTTATATCCTTACCTATAGCAGATAAAGGTTTTTTTTTTTAAATAGACTCTTTTTTTAGAGCAGTTTTAGGTTACAGCATAATTTTATGTCAATAAAATGGAATGTTTTGGCTCAAATCATTATTTTTTTTAAATGAGGAAACAAATGCTTAAATAAAAATTTGACATCCAAAATACATACAGCCAGTTTGCCGAAGAACTCCATTAAATTCTTTGGAGGCAGAACAACAGAGGTATTGAGGGGCATCAGATAGCAGTTCCCCAGCAGCAAGTCCAAGTAAGCAGTCATGCCCTATTGGGGAGGGGGAAAAGTTAACTATGGTGTAAAGAATATCAATTCTACTGATTCTAACTACCATTAAAACAAGCAGCTATATCCTTTTAGTATGTGTTAAGTTATTTTCTTTTTTTTTGCATGTTTTTAAAGATTTTATTTATTTATTTGAGAGAGCGAGAGCATGTACGAGTGGGGGGAGGGGCAGAAGCAGACTTTCTGACTCCCTGATGAGCAGGGAGCCCGGCATGGAGCTCAATCCCAGGACCCTGGGATCATGACCTGAGCCAAAGGCAGATGCCTAACTGACTGAGCCACCCAGGTATCCCTGCATTTTTTTTAAGGTTTGTTTGTTTGTTTATTTATTTATTTTCTTTTTATTATGTTAGTCACCATACAGTACATCATTAGTCTTTGATATAGTGTTCCATGATTCATTATTTGCCTATAACAACCAGTGCTCATTATAACACGTGCCCTCCTTACTACCCATCACTGGGCTACCCCATCCCCCCAACCCCCTCCCCTCTGAAACCCTCAGATTGTTTCCCGGAGTCCTTAGTCTCTCATGGTTCATCTCCCCTCTGATTCCCCCTCTTCAGTTTTCCCTTCCTTCCCCTAATGTCATCCGTGCTAGTCCTTATGTTCCACGTTAAGGTATTTTCAATAGCAAAAGTGAAAAAGGCTTTGCTGCAAAAAGATGTACATTTATGAACAGATTTAATACTAATGTACTAAGAAAAAAATCAGGAAAACCTATAAAAATGAGAAACTCACTTTTTCAAAGTCATGAATAATTGCTGCAGGATCACTATCAGAGAAACTGGGGACAGGCACATCAATGATTGCAACATTGTCTTCCTCTCGAATGTCAGCCTCCTCAGTCACAGGCAAGAAGTAGGGCTCTGCTCCTCGAAGGGAATTTGCAGGGTCCTCAGAATCAAAGAAGCACATCTCTCCACGGTAGATGGTACTCTAAAAGACAAAAAGGGAGAATTAAAACCTTTTAATACTTACTACGGTGACATTTGAATCATTTCTCACACTCACACTCACATCAATTCATTGTACTGTTTGTCAAGCTTAGGATTTCTGATTACAGTTATCACCACGAAGACAAGTCAATTTTATAAACTGAATGGTAATTTGAAAACTTGTCCTAAATCTTCATTTCTCTGGTGACCACCACAGATTTCCTTAAGTTACTACTAAGTATATAGCAATTAGTAATCCAAATTACAAGAATTGTAATTATTATTACCTTGGGCATGAAGTACTTGTAAATGCAGGCTCCACCAACAATAAGTCCTGCCAAGATGAATGAAAGGCCTAAGAGAGTAAGCATGCATCTCCCAGAGGAGCCCTCTTTTTCCTGGGTGGCAACTTGTAGCTCCTGTTTATTAAAAAGCAAAACCAAAGACAAAAACCAGATTGCACTTTTAGACACATAGCTGCTTTGTGTACAATTTACTTTCTTGAAACATAAGACATTTTTAAAAGATGTTATTAAGTCATCCTAGCTTAAAACCATTTCAAGACAATTTCTGATATTTAATAGATGCTAAAATCTCCAATTATATTAACTTTCCTTCTGGTATTTACAAACCCAGTTGCAGTGTGAAGTTTTTTCAAAATACACATTTCTAGAATCAGCTGAAAATCACTGTTCACTTATGCAATAAATTATACTCTTTAAATAAATGTAAGTTGTTGATTTTTGGACTTGTACAGTGATATAATCACTAACTTTCTAGACTATAATTATGTTGCTTTACTATTTTTTTGCCAACTTAAAGGTGAATTAGTGTCCTTTGACTTATTAAATGATTTTCAAAAGCTGGTTTTTATTGTTTTATTTTTAAAAATTCTGTAAGGCAGGTATATGTCATTTCCCCCTATTTTAGAAATTAAAATATTGAAGGTGAGATATATTTCATAATGTTCCTAATTTTAGTGAGAATTTAGCTTTTCTAATATCACCCACTGTTCTGTAGTAGTGTGCTGCATGAATGAAATAATGTTTTCCAAGTTCTGGTAAAACACTAGACTATAGTACAGCCTTTGTGATAGCTGGGCACAAAAGCTGTGTGTGTAACAGTTACTGTAAAAATTCTGTTAAATGCATAATTTGTTCAGGAATTGGAACAAGAAAGATCCAAAGCAAACGAGTGATTAACTCTGTATTCTTCCCAAGGCAATGGTCCAAGGGACCCTCCAATCCCATTCTTGTATGTCACGATATGTTTTAAGTAGTATTATTACTCAAGGGTAGAACAAACAAAGTCAACAAATGTAGTTTCTTGTAATCAGTGGGTAAATCATTCAGACTAGTATGAAAATAGAATTGTTTTAGTATTTAAGGCCATTAGCTCTTTTCCATGACAACTGCTTTAATGCTTATGGCACCTAATTAAACTTCAATTAATTTGGTGAAAACAAATGCATGGATTCTAAGGAGAGACGATTATTTCACAAATGGTTTTTCAAAACAAAATCTTAATTAAAATTCAAAGAAATTTGGTATGCACATTTTCTTAGCTAAATGTATTTAAATTCAAACCCTCCATTAATACTGTATAAACCTGGAAGGCTTTTCCTTGTCCCAATAGTTTTAAGAAATTATAAATTATTTTTATAAAAAAACTAACATAAAATTAACATTACAAAGACAGAACTATAAATCATGATTGTGAATCACTGTAATCCAGAGCTAGAGGCTTTGAAATTATATTTTAGATGATTAAACGGAGGTCCATAGAGATGATGTTAATTGCCTGTAAGTCACACAATGACTTAATTTTAAATACTCAAAACGATGGATTTCTTTTTTTCTTGTCACTGAGATATGAGAAGAGCAATTTACACTGCAATTTCATTTATTGTTAGGCAAAGTCTAAGTATTAGAGTTTCAATTTAATAAAATTCCCCACCATATTAGGAATAAGGATTTTTTTTTATCTACATTTGCTAGAATTCAGAGTGGTATGGACTTTCACTTACCATAGATAGTTTCTCTCTAAACTGTACTTTAAAGTCATTGTACACAACCTCTGACATACTATTCTGTTGTGCTAGGCTTCTGATGAGCAGATTAATACATCACAGTATACTGTGTCAAGTATTATTAAATCATTGCCTTGTAGTGGCCAGATCAGGATACTGTGGAAGTTTCTCCAACATCTAACAAAGAAATATAATCGTGGTGCAAATGCTCATTTTTATTTATTCTTCATCACACCACAGGCCTGGCAGAAGTACTGCTTACATATTAACTGTATCCAACTACAAGTCATGAAGTTTTTGGTGGTGAGAGAAAAATAAAGGGATTACTGTGTGGCTATATTTAACTACTGGCATCTAATTAGACCTCCCAAAAAATCTGGCCGTGTTTCACTTACAAAGTGAGTAGGACAGTTACATATTTGATCTTCTGTCATTTAATAAAAACCTCAACAATGCAAGGGGGTGTGACTTTTGGCTTCTGAAATGTATAATACCCAAAAGCTAGTTTTTTTGCTGGGTTAACTATTAAAAATTTCTGTGACAAAAACTCTGTATAAGCATATAAGCATTTCAAATTGGTGCATAATAAGTTTTACTACATGGGTTCTCATTTCACTCAAAGTACTTTTCAAATCTCCAGCCTGAACACAAAAGTTAAAAACTTTAAAGACAGAACAAGACAAGACAGATCTGGAAACTCTGACACTGTACAGATTTTGTAGAAGAAAATACAATTGTCCCTTTTAACATTGACATTTTACTGAGGAAAATGAGTAGTTTACAAACACTGAAAACATGTTAGTTGTTTAAAAGAAAACGGACTAAATAAACAATGGCTAACATTTTGGGGGGCAGGGAACTACCTCAGTTTCTGGCAATGCTAGAAGTTTAAATTACAAGGTCAGACCTGCTTCAGATCTCTCCATGGGGGAGGCAGGTAGAAGGATATCACAAAAAGGAAGTACTAAAAGAAGAAGAAAATAAACTTCAACATTTCTTTTTACAGATGAAGAATGTTGTCTTTAGGAAATGCCGCTGTGAAAACACGCAAGGATCTTGCAGTAAGAGGGCAACAGTTACCATCCCAAATTCTAATTAAGACCAACCTCAATTTTGACAGCTCCTTTACTGACTGCTTAAAACCGCCTATAACTGGAGAGAAATTGAAAATATACACGGGCGAACACAGACACATACTAACACCAACCCATACCGATTTGAGTCAAAGCTGTCCTTGGCCCCCTACCCCACCCCCACAAACATTCAGTGCTCCTAGAAAGAATTAGATTCATAGAACTTTATCCACATCAAAAGGAAAGAAAGAAGAGTTAAATCTCTTGCCCCGGTTCTCCTTGAGTGTCTGCTCCTTCCCTGTGTATGCTATGTGCACCCCTGGAGCTGGAGACTGAACAACGTGCCTCTCATTGAACCCAGCCCCTCACATGTTCCCCAGGAGAAGGTGACATCGGGTCCCAAGGGTTCTCCTCGAACTCCCTCTAACATCCCTTGGAAATGTACCACAAGAGCTGGAACCCCACGGAAAGCAGTGCAACTCACTGGGAGTGTGAGGCACTGCAAGCAGGAGGTGGCGCTACTAAATGCAACTGGGGCGACCGGTAAACCAGTTCAATAGCGCAGAAGGGGCAGCTTTCATTTTCCCCTCTGTCACTTGCCCCTTCTTTTCCCCCAAACTTCCCCCCCCCCCGCCCACCTTACCGACCCTAGCAGGCAGTCTGGGGTGGAATGAGTACTGCTACCTTGCCGGTCAAGATTTGAGCTCGGACCGTGCGGTTTACAAGGGCCTCCACGTCTTGCCGCGCCTCCTCTTTTTGCACCGCCGTAGGTGTATTGAAGGCAATTTTCACCATAGTGAATCTTTGGGCTTGGTGGTAAGGCGTGGCTCAAATCAGCGTCCCGGGCTACAGGTTGTAAAGAGATCGCGCTAACCCTAGCAGGACCTACTTTCTCCCTCGTCTGTCTTAGGCAGCTGCAAGCCCAGGTCTGGGGATACTTATGACGCAGTCCCATGCCGGGTGGGAGACCGTGGGAGGGCTCAGGGAGGGGCCAAGGGAGGAGCGGGAGGGGGTCCAAATGCTGGGATGGGGGTGGGGGTTGTCAGTGAGGAAAGAGAAGGGGAGGTGGAGCCCTGGGGCAGCGGGGGCTTGAAGTGCCTCACCTGCACTCCAGGCGTGCTCCCACCCACCCTCTGCACCGTCAGATAAGAACAGGACAGGAAGGAAGTCTGCTGTATTGTATCTTTCTGCCTCCGTCTAGGCCACAATAGCCCCTGACCCTGATTCTGTTTTCCCAAACCTGGGCCTGCCCCCCGCCCCCCACCAGGGGCCAGGAACTGTAACTTGGCACCGACTCAAGCTTCCTCAGCTCTGCACTCACCCAGGTCCCAAAAGCACAGTTCATGACTGTTCTGTACCTTTATAATAATACCTTCCCTTTAAAGAACACTCAGAATTCTGTTTATAGTTACTTGGTTCATTCTCTCAACATCTTGTTTTCTTTCTTGGCGTTTGTTTTGTAATTTCAATTTCCCAACCTAGAGCAATACTAAATCAGAAATATAGCACTCCTGTCTCTTCAACTCCGCACTTTGCAGGTAGGACAGGATGAGACACAGAGGAAGGTAGAAAGCTCATAGTGAATTTCTGAAATAATCCAGATCCTTTCACTCTCTCAGGTCAGGGAAACAAGAATAAGGTCTCAGTCCAGACCTTGTTTCTCTTCAACCACCAATTCTGAAATCTGCAGGGAGAAAAACAAGGGTGTGTGTATACCTATGCATTTAAGAAGGTGAAAGTGTGAGTGAAGAATACAAAGTTTAACCATATGCTAACCCAGCTCTAATGGGGATAAAAACCAATAATACCAAAGAGGGTTGAGTTAGATATCATTATTGAAACATTTATATGTGCAGCTAGTGTAATCATGCTATTCTTTCACAATCAGTTCTGCCTGATTGGTGACACTGATAGACAACTTCACTGTGTGAAATTCATGCTGTGGAGGTTGCTGACTACAGGTGGTAGTGGTAAAGAGTTTATAATTAGTCCCGCTGCCAAAGAGAGTAAAGGGGTCTGTTGTGTAAAGGCAATAACACCAAAACAAAAAACAAACAAACAAACAAAAAAAACCCCACAAAACAAAAGAATCAGGCTTGTACTAGAGAATCCCCCATTTACTCATACTTATTAAATGAAAGAGACTTGGATATGTCATCATCCCTCGGTCTAAGAAATTTCAGGTTGGAGTTTTCCCCACTGAGGTTTCCCTGACTCTGAAGCCTGTTGCCTGTCTCTATTATGGGAGCTCTGTGAAGACACCCTTAATTTTCTCTGATAGGCCGCAGATGAGAAGGTAGATGGAGAATAGTGGGGATCCTTGCCTTACACAGGGCCAGATGTTCACGTTTACTTAGAAATATTGGTACCTTATGCATTTTTTGTTTTTATTTTTGTTTTGTTGCTGTTATTTTTTAATTCTTTTTTCAGGTCTGGCCATTATAATTTAACATTTATCAGGCAACCTTTAGTGTAGGCTGAGGAAATCTCAACTTCCCAGGATGTTTCTTTTTACAGTTACCTTCTGTTTGCTATCACCTTTATGACAATTCAACCTAAGTTCTGTGCTAGTCTGTCCCCGTCACATAGGTGGCTGAACAAATGGTTGCTCCTACACATTTACCTATCAAGTGTAAGGTGCTGGATAAGGTAGTAATGTATTATATTATCTTAGTGCATCTTCCCTGAAATATAATCAGGCAGAAGGGACAGGGATTATTTCTATTTTTCAGATGATTAGACCCAAACTTTGGTAACAACCAAGGGATATGTGATTGATTATTGGTTATGTCACATTGAGCAAGCTTCCTCATCTCCTTGTGCCTCATTTTCCTCCTCAGCAGAATGGTGCGATATTTCCATCCTGTTGCTGTGAGGATCATTTAGGATAATACAGGAGGAAACATCTTTTAAATTATGAAAAGGATAGGAGAGTAAAATGGTTGGTTACACTAGGATTCTTATTTTAGTCTGTAACATACCTGTGTTTCAAGGTTATAGGATGATTTATATATATTTATATAAATATATTTATATATATATTATATTTCAGCTATTGCTTAGCCTTTAGAGCTGCTTAAGACCGCACTGTATCTTAATATAAGTCATTTTGGAAAAGGTTAAACTTCAGAAAATAGTCACATAAATTGCCATCTAAGTTTTCTGTTGGATTTTGAAAATTTTGGCTATCTTCTGTTTGTTAATGCCATGCTCTCTTTTAGAGATATCCCTCATACCTCTCTAAGGGCCTTTGCTGCTGCTGAACATATATGGTGCAGGCATGGACTCACATTAGCAGATACTTACTGCTACCCTTTAATATAAATAATACTTGTGTTAGAATCGAATAACAACAACACCCATTGTTAGTGTCTATTTCAGGAAGGGTGCTCAGTGGGGAGTCTCTCTCTCTCTCTGCCCCTACCCTGCTTGTGTTCTCTCTCTCTCAAATAAATAAATAAATAAAATCTTAAAAAAAATAGTTCTTATTGGTTAAGCTCTTTGTTGTACTCTCTGCTTCCCAGCAACAACTTCTTGTTTCTTAGAATCAATTTCTTTCACTTTCTTATCTTGGAAAACTGGGGATCTGGCTGCCATGCCAGTTCCAGCTCCTATTGTTAATCATGCCTGAATGCACACCATTCAAGTTTATAAATGACTTCCCTGTTCTCAGATGATGCCAGATGATGACTAAATTATCACAATTTGAGCTGAATGGAAGACGATGTACAATTGGATGCCAACTCTCTTTGAATGGTCTGAAATTACCAAAAACTTGATCGCATGAAAATAAGACTACTAGTGGCTTCTGTAGTACAATTTCATTCATTAATTCATTTATTTGTTCACCAAATATTTACTGAGGGTTTACCGCCTTGTTCTGTGATTGGCCATGGGAATGGTGGTGAGTACAACAGACACAACTTTGTCCTTATAAAATATACCACACTGAAACCACAGCAATGACATATTTGTCTTAAGTTCTATAGTTTTTATAGTGGGGACACTGGTTCTGTGCTGTGGAGTATAATATAGCAATTCTACAAACCAGCAGAGTAGTTCTACCCACAGCCAGTGCTACTAGGAATGTTTAAATTCCTATCTCACCTGCAATGGCTTCACACCCAGCATTCTATTTAGGAAGATTAATCTGACAGCAAGTTGTATTGGGAAACCAGTTAGGAAGCACTTCTATATTCCAGGTGAGAGATGGTGGAATACATTATGATTGCAACATTAAAAATAAAGGGATTACTTCCAAAGATGTTTAGAAACCATAATTTACAAGAGTCCAGTGCAGGATTAAATCATAAGAGATAAATTAGAAAAACTAATTCTATTTTAAATGACTGGGAATCCAGGATTGGGAAAATGGTGGCACCCTTGATAGCAATACTAACATTTGTTGAACACATCAGATACTGGATTTCTATGCTAAGCCCATTAAATTCATTGTCATGTAATCTTTACCACAACCCTGTGAAGTATTATTCTATTCCTCATTTTATTGATGAAGACACCGAATTTCCAAGAGGTTAAGTGACTTGCCCAAGGTCAAATGCTAACTCAAGTGGTCTGATTCCAGTGTTTATACTATTTTTTTATTTTAAGATTTTATTTATTTGACAGAGAGAGACACAGTGAGAGAGGGAACACAAGCAGGAGGAGTGGAAGAGGGAGAAACAGGCTTCCCGCTGAGCAGGAAGCCCCCCAGGACCCTGGGAACATGACCTGAGCCGAAGGCAGATGCTTAACTACTGAGCCACCAGGCGCCCCCCAGTGTTTATACTCTTAATCACTATGGTGTCTCACTGTTACTAAAATAAATCAGAAAATCAAGAAGGAGCTGGCTTGAAAGCAGGGAGAATAACCAGCATATTCTCTAGGGAAATGAAGAATGAATCCTCTGCCCATATTGCAAACAGAGATTCCTGCCTAGGATTTTGTTCAGGACTAAAAGCACTTGAAATCCTTTTAAAATTTTGCTGGTCATATGCGAATACATGGCTATAGGCTACACATCCTGAAGCATATTTCTCTTGAGTTGCACAGTTGCTTTTGTCTACAGAGAAGTGGTACTAGGAGAGCTGGCCAGCCATCTGCTTTTGGGTATAATTCTAGGAATTTGGCTTAATTCTTTAAAGAGCAGGCCATTTTATAGGTCCATGACTTCTCTACATACATGGCTAAGTCCTGGGAGCATAGCTAGGGCTTCTCACACAAAGTAATAGAAAACACTCGCTTTCTGATTCTTGAAAGTGATAGATTCTCATTTCTCAACACTATTTAAGGTTTCCTTTGTAGGCTAGTAAGCTATGACAATAGGAGGATGCAAGATTCTTTCTTAAATATAAGAGTAGTTTTCATCATCTCTTCACAACAATGTGGTCATATCTTCAAGTTTAAGATTAAGTTGTGCCTCACTCTAATTTATAAAAAAATCACTTTTTTTTTTGTCATTTGGCACAACTGAAAAATCTGTGAAAATATTCACACTTTTATTGCATCTTCTCTAAATTGTGTAAAGATCCTTATCTTGTTGCAGACTCTTTGGGCAATTTTAAAAATAGAGTCATGAATCAATATCTGATCATCTTATCTGATCAAACTTCACTGGAAGTTTCAATCTTGAGTAATACAAGAAAGAAACTCACAAATCTTTCCCTAGGAATGCTTTGAGAACATCTAGTTGGTTCAATTGCTCTATAATATATTACTGAGTGATACTAAGATGACTTTGTGACTTTAAAGTTATGTTCTTATTCAATGAAAGCATAAGCATTTGTGTTCTCATTAATGAGTGCTAACCAAATATTCTTTTTACCTTCATGTTTATTTTGTTGGTGTCTCAACATATTCTGTTCCTAGTTTGATCTTAAAGAAAACAAAATCCCAAGTTGTTTTACCACACATGATTCACCTTGGCTGTTTCTGAAATGCAATTTTGTTTTTTATTTTCTTATTTATTTATTTATTTATTTATATTCAATTAGCCAAGGTATAGTACATCACTGGTTTTTGATATAATGTTCAGTGATTAATCAGTTCAGTATAACACCCAGTGCTC